ATGAGCAATAACAAAAATGAGCTTCAAAAAGTAAATGTGCAACTTGTCAAGATTGGAAGTCTTATCTTTTTTTAGAAGGTGTTAAAATCTGATTTTTCATATTGTAATATAATTCATGTTTTTAGATATAATTGTCATGAAATAAACCAAATACAGTCATGAATTACACATTATCTAAAATAGTAGATGATGCGGCAACTTATTAAATATGTATGTGCTTAATGACAAGTATTTTCATAATTATCAAATAAAATTTGAAATTGACTTATTGTAAATTCCAAAACGGATATTTGTTGATGCATGCATTTCCTTATAACCATGTAATCTAAAATCTCTTCACCATTTTAACTCATCATGAATTTAGAAATATGATGTGTCTACTAAATAATTGTTTGTAACAAAATCTACTTATCATATTTCTACAATCATCACTCCATTATAATCTCAATAGATCTCACAAATTGTAATTTTTATATATAATATAATATCTCACAACAGAGATATATTTTAAATTAAAAAAAACATTCCAAATTTCTATTATAATAATCATATTTTTATTTCTTCAAAAAATATATATTATGTTATTTTTTAAAATTTAAAGTTGTTAACTAAAACTAGTTCATGGTCAATTGATAACATAGATTGTCACAAACTTTACAACCCATTAAATATTTTCTAAAAATTTACAACAAACTAATTAGAATTTTAACTTTGAGTTAAATCTCATCTAAATTTTTTTTATGTTTTGTCCAATTTGTTTAAACCAAGATAAACCGATTATCAAAATTGTGCTGAGGAAAGACCATTATTGTCCAAAGATATTTCTTACGTTTCATAGAAAGATTATGACATTTTACAAAACTGTTATCAATAAAACAAATAAAGTCTTCAAAATCTAACAAAATTTTAATTTTATGCTATGCGGCTAAAAAATTATTTAAGCAAAAAATTATAATAGCAAGAATGTTAAGTGTAAAGTATTAATGTTGATGATGTGGCAACACTTGTCATTTGCACAATCCCTAATGTTATGATTGTTGTAGTTTTTTCTCAATTTCCTTATGTTTTGGCTCAAAATTGCTTAACATGTACTAAAATTAGTGAGCTTTTGGCTCTTGAGAATTCGAATAACAATTGTCTTAACTGTGCTACTTGACGACACAATAAAATCACAAGCTCTTCTTGCAATGTTATACTTTCTTTTTTTTTATTAGATTCATAACTCTTGAAGTGTCAATTTGCATAGACTCATAAGTCAAAATGCTCGAAGTTGTCTAGCGAGTAAAGTTGTATAATTTTCTTGATATGATCCAAATAATAATTGTTGCTACTCTTGTTGTTCAAACAATCAATTGTTGCAATCGTTTGATTGAATAATGGTTTCCGATAAAGTAATGAAGTATGGCAAATTCATCAACAAGGTTATGATATCATTGCGGAATACTCATTGAAACATGGTGATGAGAGCTATATTATTTCAATCGATGTTATATACAAGTTGTTGAAATTTTGCAACGCATGTTGAAACTAGACGTTATAATTGTTGCAGTGTTTGAAGTTTTGTTGTTATTATAACGATTTGATCTTTATCCAAACGTTTCGCTAAATTCTTGCAAAAATTGGTCAAGGTCTATCATGAATGAAATATTCAACCCACAAAAAAAAATAAAAATCTAGATAACGTAGTTTTTTATGAACAGCGGTCTCATGAGTCCAATTTGTGTTTTTTTGGTTGAATATCTATTTGGTTGGAGACAAAAGACAAGTAGAACTTGGTTGAAAAAAATGAGAAATTTTGTACAATATTGATCAAATTATTCTAGCAAGTTTACTTGAGATTATTTTGACGTTTATTTGCTAGAAGTTAGAAAACTTTTTGACTCCAAGTTGGAAAAAAATTCCCACCGTTAATATCACATCCGTGACAAATTGACATCTTTTGAACTTTTAATATTTGAAAAGCTTTAAATTTTTCCGTACAAGAAATTTTTTTATCGAAATTTTTTTTTGATTTTTATAACGTGGTCAGTATGGTCATTCTGCAATATATTTTTTCTATAATTTAAAAAAAATTAAAAATTAAAATATATTTTTTATTATTTCATAATTTTATTAAATTACACACATCTTAATCTTCATATCAATGTATATTTACATCTTTTTTCACTATTATTCATAAAAAACTTCGTTCTTTTATCAGATTTGAAATTTTTAAACCTGATTTTTAAAAAAAACTTCATAACCCAAATCTTATATTTATTTCATTTTGCCATGTTATATTGAAATTTTTCCTTCATTCTTTAAATTTTATATTTTATATTTTGATGATTATTTTTTAACACATCGTGTTTTGACACTTTTTTATTTTCAATTGAACGTTTTGTATCATCATTTTGATTTTTTGATTTGTATCAAATTGAATCAATACTTACGCTTTCAAATCAAGACATCAATTTTATTTTTATATTTTGAGTTGAGCATTTTGTAATTATCACATAACAACATCAAGCCCAAACTATCAAAGGCAAATGGAGTAACAATGAACTACGAAAATCAAATTGCTGATAAAAAAAATCATAGTCAAAGTCAAATTCTGAAAGCTTTTAAGACAAAATGCTAATAAGTACACAAAAAATGAAGTTATGATATAAAGTGAAAAAATTAAAGTAAAAACTAAAAGTGATCATGTTGATATCAAAATGACAAAGATTAATATAGGGCCAAAATGACAAAAATCTGAGCAATACAATAGTTCAACATCAAAAATTTGATGAAATACAAAGATATGAGTATAACACTGCAATAAAAATATGAAATATTGATGCAATCGAAAATAAGATTCACGTAATAAAATATATCAATATCAATATAATTGTGATTTTATAATAAATGATGCAAAAATAATGATGAAAAAAGAAAAAATTTTAAATCAATTGTAGTGATCATAAACTTAATTTTAAAAATTTATAAAGTTAATTTTTTTGCGCAACACCTGGAAAGTACTCGCAAATTGATCAATCAGAAATTCAAAGAGATTGAAACTTCAATTGTAAAAATTAATCAAACAAAAGTATTTGTTCAAGAGAAAAAGATGTATAGTTTGCAAAGACTGCAAACACTTTAAGCATTTTAAACGCAATTATGAAAGCAGATCATTAAAATAGAAATATGAATTCCACACAATCTGTATTAACATTAACAAGATTACACTCATTAATATTTCAGAGCAAAAAATATTCAATTTTGAACATAAGGATATAACACTAAAGATTTTAAGAAAAGATGAATTCTTAAATAGCTAGATACAAAATATAAGTGGATGTTTCATGCAAAACATTTCATCAAACAAAAGAGAGAAATCATATTGATCTATTAGGATAAAATCAAATCAGTTCAAATATCAAAATTATTATTTACAATATAAAATATAAGTCATTCATCAAACATGAAAATATCATCATAAAGGAACTAATGATGATAATAACAATACGTTGATTTTGGATAAATTTTATTTTTTATGAAATAATTTAAATTTAAATAATAAGTTCAAATTAAATATTACTATAAAGCATACTATGTATAGTTTGGTTGTTAGGAGTAGAGTTTGTGATTTGATGCGCACAATTTGAATCTTTTGATATCATCCAATTTCATAAAACAATTCCAATCCAATAGTTTATCATCAGCTTTTTCAATTCATGTTTTAGCTTTTAAGCTCAAACATTCTGACAATAATATCACAAGGTTTTAATTCATAGTGAAATTTATAGATAGTGCTAATGTTTTATCAATCAAGCTTCTTAGTTTAGTTAGATAAAAATGTTATAAACTTTGTTTCTTTATATATTTCAGATAATTATCTGTTATTAAATTCAACCCAAAATTACATTATCTGCTTATATAAGCACAATATTCGTCTACTCATGGACTCTTAATAGACTTCAAGCCAGCTACCAAATATCTTGATCGAAGATTCATGACAATAACGGCTTGAAATTTACATGTCGAATGGTCATAGTAGCTATGCTTAATTGACATCACAGTTGTCGGTTGATATTTTAACAGATATGAAAATTCTTTGATTGTTTAATGTTTATTACGATAACAAATTGATATTCTCTCGGTGTGGTTTTCAACCATCATGAAGTATAACGGATGGTTCGTTAATATCCAACTATTTTCAGATACTGTAAGTTTGCAATACCATTTCTGTTGTTTGAAGGTCGAAAGTTAAGGCCACTGTTGTTGACAACATGACGGTCATATGATGATGAACGATTTTTCATCCTTACATACATTCACTCAAGGGAGATCTAGACTTGACATTCCATTTTAGATTTCAGCTTTGAAGGACCTGTCAACCACAGGTTATTTCAACGCAAAAATCCCAGCGTGTTAATTGTGAGGTAAATCTACAAACTAGCACGATAGTCAAGTGTCTGTACACTGTAGCAAATGTGTTCTTCCCGTTCAACTCGACATTTCACTTGTTCTGCGTAATTCGTGGCTCTAGACTAGCCGTACATGCCTTCGGTGTATCAATCGGTCTTGGTCCAACTTTCTAACCAGAGTAATCTGATTTGGTGGCAGACTTCTTGTGGACGAAGGTAGCTGTCACGCAGATAGTTGTGATGAAACGATTCTCACTGAAAATAAGGCATTAAATTTTGATTTGAGCATCTCCGTGAGTGAGTTGCATCGTGTGGTAATATGTTTACAGATTTGGAAGTAAAAAACAAGTCATACACAAGTTATCACTGTCTACTACATATACTTATTTCTCCTCCTTGATCAAGATGTAGGTCACTCATATACTGCATCAGGCTTATTCAACTTCTAACGGTGAGTACTAGTTATCACACCATACCACAACTGGCAAGTAACAAGACCGCGTGCTACACAAACTATACGCTTGGACGTGCATTCCCATACAAACAGCCTCTGTAAGAAACTTCTTCACATAAACTTGACATATCAAATACAGATACGACTACAAAACCCCGCACAAATGAGGTATCACCTTTGAACACTTCCATTACATGATGAAATATCTGTAAGTTTCCAAAAAAAGATCAAAATATTCCAGCAATATTTACTCCCCCGCAGGGAGTTTTGGCATTGCTCACAATGCTACCATCTACTCAGTTCACTGCCCAAGACCCCTACTTATATACAAAAAAGAAGGTTGGGCTACAATGACTGCTGCAGAAACACAAATATTTGGCACTGGCAATTGTTGGGGCCACTAGGTAACTAGATCCAAAACTGGAGGCCACATCACATTCATCATGCCGACCTACATTCATACAAGATACTGTACTTGGAAGTAACTAGTGGTACAAGTATTTATGTTGGGTACCACGACGTTTTTAGTGAAGAAAGTGAGTCAGTAAGGCTTTTGAGGCAGCTCACATCAAGGCCTATGTACAAGTGACTCACTCTGATACGGCCAGACGTAAAGGGAGGAGGTATGAAGTATTAGCACCCCATGCATGACGGGGAGCCACTAACATCAAAGAAAAACTCGCACTGCCTGTCACCTACCCGACACAAGGGGAGGATATTTGAGGTACTGAACATGACAGCTTCACGGACTAGGATCGACCTTCTTCACAATGCTGCTTCAAAACTGTACTGGAGGAGGTAAGTGGGGATTGAAGAGTAACCGAATAGCACAAACACCTTGGGGATAAGGAACACCACGGTGGATTATCTGAGAAGAATCACCACAAGGAGAGAAAGAGACTGTGCTGAGTGAAGAGGAGCCCCACAATAGGTGAAGAAAGATAAGTCACCTTTCTATGCAGAAGATAAAGGAAGGTCCCACCAAAGATTCTCGCTCAATATGCCTTGCTCGCTTGCAACGCCGGCCCACAGCAGCAACATCAGCTATCTTCTTCGGTCGCTCCTCTCACGAGAAGAAGACAGGGAGATGATACGAGACAGACGGACAGAGTCAGAACAGAGAGAGACAGAGAGAGGAACTGAACTGGAACCCACAATGACACATGGGAGGGATGTATATATATCACTGGCACAAAGGACCCATGCCGGAGTACTCAGATGGCTGGGCAGTGCATGGTAAAGTAACTTAAAAGGCTGAATAATGGAAGGGTCTTGAGTTGGTGACCCCAAATAATTAGGTAAGATGTGGTAGCACGCATGACACCATGCGCCTATATGCCCCTCCCATGGCGCAGATATCGTGGATTGAGCATTGACTGACAACCCAACAAGACGCTATTACTACCACTCTTTGCATCCTAAGGTACCCTCCAATTAATGTTTCAGTTACATCTGTTGTGGTTATTGACATCAGGCCCTCAAATGGGCCTTTCTCTACTTGGATAAGCTAGGCACAGTCCACCCTGCTTCCAAGTGTGGTGTGGTGGGACTCTTTTTTGCTTTCATATACTATCGCCGTACCTGGCTTGACTTGGCACCTTGGCACATGATATTCTTGCCAAGGAGTGGATTGGGGCCCACCCAAAGGGACCCAGTACATGTGTTTACTGTTCATAGTGACTGCTGTGGTCAAATTCTGCTTTGGCTCACCTCACCCGGTCAGTCCACAGAAATGTTTTTTCCCGCTGGGACCCATGAGAGAAGGGGGAGAGGTGAGCCGCTGTCGAACTCTACTTTCTATATACTGCCAATGTCGTCGCTGCCAATGTGTCGTCGACAAATCGGCCTTCTTCGTCTTTGCTCAATATCATAGCTACAACAATCAGTTCACATCACACGGAAGAAATGTCAGAACTTGCTCAACAAATAAGTCACGAGTGCAACATCCACGATAATTGAGCTTTAACAAGCTCAAGTCGAAAGCACTTATCCGTGAATGGTGGAGCTATTGAAATAAGACGTGATCGAACAAATCGGTTTCACACGCAAACAAACCGAGGAGCACAGGCATGAAGATACAAATCTAAGTACTCCAAGGAGTCAAGCCTGAAGAAATTGCCCGAAAAGGCACGACACAGCATGCATGGCAATACATCCCCAGGAAGTCGAAATTTATACTGAACGAGCACACGAAAAAATCCAGAACAAAAGCCTGGACATGAATTGAGGCCGAAGGACGCAGCCAGATACAAAATAAGGAGATAAGAGCACATGTGAGGAATTCTCTATCCGACTTGAACCAAGCAGCATGTGAACAACAAAAATATAGACGTAGAAACACTCTCGGTAGAGAATCGCTGGTTAGACTGCCAACTCAAAGCTATAATACCCTCACCCTTTAACAGTCATCAGGAAAAATTACTTAGCAGACCTAAAGCCTTTAGGAAAGCTAATGAAGAAAACAGAAAGCGTTCGGAACACCAAAGTCGGGTTCATGGGTTGATTCAGTTCTAAATTGCTCGAATTAAAAAAGTTTCCTTGAGAAGCCGGCTTATGTGTCTACACGCTTCTGCGCGTACTTGTCCTCGACAGCGGGTTCCGATGATGCATTGGTGTAAACAAAGAACACAGCTAAGTTTTAGCGCACTGAAAATTGAAATACGGGGGTGGAAGTGCCACGATTGATACCTTAGAATACATTGGATGCAAAAAGGGTCGGTGATCCGTGATGGTACTGACTCCATGAGCTGGTCTGCACTCACAAGATACGGCACAGAAACGAAATTGAGGCCTATTCAGAAAACAACTACGAGAAAACCAGTAAACAATTCTCATTAGCGAACTAGCAACCTGGTCTTATGTCGCCGTTGTCTATGATCATCTACATGATATAAGACCGGTTTGAGAGCTCTGGAACTTATCATCCGCTCACCATCCCGGTCATACGAAAAGGCAAAGGCACAGCATCTCATTACAGCTGCTTCGCTTGACAAAAACACCAGAGATGCAACCAATTCAAAGATGACATTGCCGGAGACCCTTAGGACGTACCTGTCCTCCAAGATTCAGGCTCTTCATTTTCTCCGGTAAAGAAAACGCAGCCTTCTGCTTATTGGTTCCGTGTGGACTGGTGAAGGGGCTGTCGGGTAGATTGTGACCTCTGCTGGAGATACGCACATACAACGCGTCAGAACAGGAAAGAAATCAACAGCCACTGCCGGGACGTTCATGTAATAACGAAGGATAAACATTTAGCAGGCTCTCTGACGTTGTAGGTAATAATATTCAGCTACTACATAACAGTCACGGTCATACCCCTGCTGCATTCCACCAAAGGTTTCATTAGGATCTCCATCGTCTCCGTTCTCTCCATCCAGTACGTCCAAAAGGTACCCGAATGAGTTGTCAGAGTGAAAATGTGGCATGTCTGCAAAATCAAGATCACAGTTACACACGGAGAATCAGATACGCAGTTCTCTGTAGAAACAAGTAAATCGAATCGTGTACGTCAGCAGTCCTCACAAACTACTTGCCAGCTCAGAATCTAGCCGTTAAAAGCGTGTCCCTCGTCGGTACAAAAAAAACAGAAGTCTGATCGAACAAAAGATGCATACACCAATCAATTACTAATTTTTCAGAACAGGAACGTTCAGAAACGTCGGTCGGGAACGTCCAACGGCTAACTTTTCTGTACTTCAAATGCGACGTTCAAGCCACTGAAGTATAGGGAACTTTGAATCCTAGCATGCAGTTGGCAAAAGTCAAATTAACGCGGTTCTCAGAAATAGACGTAATATGGTGTTGTGCTCAAACGCTCATCTATTTAGCTGTCGGAGTGAACATGGCTCGATCGATAAACACGCATATACGTAGTAAAGGGAGTTATCACCGTGACACGTGTGTTTTGAAGGTGAACACTTACTGCCAGGAACCTATTATCTACCGACGGTCTGAAGCCGGCCTGAAAAAAGACCTCCGCACGACAGGCTAAACACCAGTACACTCAACCGCTCAACGAATCGAATCAACGACGGTCATTACCACTAATGACGCAAACCATCCAATCGTTGCGTAGTCCGGCCGTCTACTCTCAGTGAGATACACTGAGGACTGGTTCAGATTCAAAAATACCAAATTGGATACATTCTGAACGTTCGTAGCCAAATTTAGTTCACAACGTACATTTATATTCCAGTTATTTAACGGAATTGGATGCATGGCGGGCACCTCCGGCTGGACGTGCTCGCCATGCAAGTCCTTAACTTAAAATGCACTTCCTTGACGGTCAAAACTATGGTTCCTCAACAGCACGAAAACAGCACCAGCTTGACGTGAAATCCTCAAAAATGGGGGAGAGGAATGAGCAAGCCGAAAACGGTGCTGGCAACTGCAGAGTCCCGGAACGTAAGATCTGGAACGGGTTCAGTGGGTAGGTACACTCGACAAGAGTCTCTGATTTCAAAATCTCTACGTACGAGACAAACGTACGTAGTCTTTCAAATCGTAAAAGTCTTACACCGCAGTACGTGAGGCTGCAGAAACTCCGTCATACAGGGAAGGGGAATTCGTGTAAACTGAGCTTTCCCATACTCCTCTGTAAATTACCTTCGGAGTTTAGATTGAGTTCCTCTGAAATGTATCCACCGTTCGAAATTCCTTGTTGGGCTTGTACTTGAGCCTGAGCCTGAGCTTGTGCTTGAACGTGCGCTTGGGCAACGGCCTGCAGATTGGCCTCCGCTTCAGCCTGTGCCTGAGCCTGCTGCTGGGCTCGACGTCTCTGCACATCGAGGTGCTGCAGCTGTTGCAAGTCAACGAGCCTTCTTCTGTCGAGATCCAAAACTTGTTGTTCCTCTTCCTCTAGGCGCCGCGTGAAGGTCTCATCGTCGTCGAAGTACTTCGGGGCTGCACACACAACGGTTCAGATTATTTGAAACGGACCCCCTGAATGTACGTGCGGCCACTAGGATTTCGCCTCCTTGGAAGAGAAGACGGCATGAAAGAGACCAGACAGAAAGAAACAGAAAGCCAGGACTTCCTATCAGAATTAGCTTGTTATTGGCGGAAGGCATAGGGCTTACTCGGCGGGTGTTGATAGTCGTAATCTTTAGACTCAAGGCTACGACTCTGTTGATATCTCGGGTGGTCACCTCGCTCAGAGTACTTCCTGCAGGGCACTTACGTCAGTACATAATGAAAAAGCCACGTCACGCAGAGCACGATTAGCGTGAAGACAAAACTCAGGCCTAACAGAGAAACAACTTACCTGTCACCATGCTTGCCCTTCTCTCTGTAGGGTTTCACGAGCACACGGGCTCCGCAGATGTAGTGAGGGTTTCCTTCTGACAGAATTGCCTTGACCGTTTCGGAGTACACAAACGTAACAAACCCGAACATTCTCTTCTGCTGGTAAGGTATTCTTACGTCTTGTACTGGACCATACGCCCTGCAATAATAGAAAGCATACCACGATGTTAGGACCGAGCTGTAACAAGGTTGTTCTTTGCAATACAACTCAGCTTTCGTTTCCTTCGAGTACCTGAAGTGAGAAGTTACATCTTCCTCTGTGAAGGAACTTTCGGCGGGGAAGGTCAGATAAATTTGTCGAGAGCTGGGGTTCACACCACTAAGGTCGTCTCGCTCTCCTCTGAACGCGGTGAACCTATGGGCATCCTCCGCAAGCACCACAGCATGCTGACCGTGAGGCCTGTTCAAAAACGCAGCAGTGTGCTTGTGTCTGAGTAGGAGAGAAAACAAACTGTAAGAATGCATGTGCAACTAAGGTGCAGGTCATGGAAATTTACCTCATTCAAAACCTTAGGAAGTCCCTAGCAACTATTCTCTATGAGACAGAGGAGCGGAAGTGATCTGTATGCCCTGATAATGCAGAACGTTGACAAATTGACAAACACTGGTCAATCCACACGCTGAACGTGCTTCACAATAAGATTAGACAAGCGTGTCCCCACGCGATACGACACGAAGCACAAGCCGGAAACAGGGGCACGTCGTGAACGGGGAACTATCACCCATTCTTGCTTACTTACAATTTGACACACAATGAGTTAGAAGAACAAATTCCGATGGTCTTGACAGGACATGAGCTCAACAAACTCGTACGCTGAGTGCTTGTGGATTTAAGCCCAATAACGAGCCCAATGCCCACTTTTACGAACTGAGTGGTGTAACAAAAGTCAGGCTAAAACAAACAAACCCCAACGACCTGCTGACACACAGTGTGAACTCGAAGTGTGACGAACAACGAAAGAAGGAAGGATTCGGTGTAGTTTGAGGTGGAGATAATGCAGGTGAGATTTCCCACAGCAATTGATGCAAATAACCGATGTGAGACGAATGGGGGGAGGTACCATCAAACGATGGCCGGAAACAAAAAAACAAGTGAGTACTCACCGATCGATCAGGGTGACAGTATTTTTCAGACGAGCGAGGAGCTTCGTCAGGCTGTATCCGGCCTTTCCGTGCCTCTGGCTCTCAGTTAAGTAGCCTTCGGCCTGGAGAGTCTTTCCAAAACGCTCGTAGTACAGCTGAGGAAGAGAGGCAATGGACACCGGTGCCCTCCTACCCCTGAGAAGCTCCTGCAATTCCATCTCCAGTCTTTCCAACGAGCCCGATGCGATGCCCTCCTCTCCCCTCATCTCTCTCTGGCCGCTGCTAGTCGACGATGAGCCCGAATTCTCCCTCACGGGTCCATGCAGAAATCGACAGTTGCTCCCATGCTTGCAGAACCCACGGGCGAAATATAAACATGGTTTCCATGCAAGAGCTGGACCGATATCGGGTGGCGATGAACTGTCGACTATGGGAGAGTTCCGCCTACTGCTAGATCTAGAATACAAGTGGTCGGCTGCTGCGCTGAGCTTCGTGCTACTGTTAAGGAACGCAAACGTTTCGGGATAGAAGTGCTCATTCGGAAATATACGTATTTGAGAAGACTGAGCATCAGGGGAATCGTTGAAGAGGGACTGGTCGTGGATTGGAAGCTGATCGTGGTAGAGAAGCTGGTCATGGTAGGAGGGTAGCTTGTCGTGCAGGGATGCTAGCTTCTCGTGGAGGGGCACTTGCTCTTGCATTGGGCTGATGCTGAAGTTCAGGTAAGGATGGCTGTCAGGAATATACAAAGGCGTCGGACGACGATGATCTTGTTCGGGCTGCACGTGAGAAATGGACGAGAGTTGATTTGGAGACTGTTGGGCCGAAATGTGACTTAATGTCTGTTGGAGAAGCGAAGATTGGAGGGAGTGGTGCGCAAGTTGGGATGTCAACTGCACAGAATTTTGTTGAGCCGACGGGGGCCGGTTCAGTTGAGCGAGCTCCTTCCTGGCCTTCACAACCATGTTTTGGATGAGGCCATCGGAGCCCATAGCCAGACGGAACATTTCCTCATCTCCATGGTCCTGAAGAAGCAGGTACCCCATTATCTTGGAAACGTTCTCCGGGTCTAGGTTTTGAACTCTCGCGCAGACAACTCGGTAAGCCTCGTAAGGATCCATTTGTTCAGAGGATCTGCACACATGACAGCCACAAGTCAGTACATTACCACCCACTCCTGTGATTCCGCCACACCTGCAATCCTCCGGTACACTCCGGCCCCCCGGCGGCGGCGCCTACCGCATCGTCAAAGAGTACAATAGGCTGAGCGCACATCCAATCCGAAGGCACAGAGGACTCTAATCACAACCACGATATGGTGCCCACGACGGAATTCTGGCTTCACAGAGCTCGCCGTTAGGGGTCTCAAATATAACTCCACATCCGACCGATGGGTTCATTAAATCAAATGAGTTCAATGGCTTCATATTCGAGCCACAAGACGTGTCCACTGACTTCAGAGAGGCGCTGAGGAGTGTGACCCGTGGGTTCACGAGCTTCTCGCAGGGAGAAGATGGCGGATATCATCAGACCTCGCTCACGGCTGTCAAAGACACTTCCTTCATCGGCTGGACAGAGCACACCAAGACGATGTCGAGCTAACCCTACAAAAGTCCCGACTCTCTGCTGCTCATCACGGCCACCTTCCGCCCTTCGAATCTCCTCGACCACGCGCGACAAAACAGAGGCTCGCTCGCGGCATGGCCCTCGAAGGGGATTTGCTCTGCGGCGGAAGGGGCCGTGCTCTCGCCCATCGCTCCCGATTAACGGCTAGTTTCTCAGAGCTCAGAGCCGGCGGCAGCAAGCTGAATCTGTTTACCTTCTCATTACTGCTGCAGCGCACGGGACCGGAAGAGGCTTCGCCGGATTGACAGAGTTGCGATACGTGAATTCGCATGCGAGATTGTCTTTGCAGTTTACGTGAGGCGACGATCGACCACAGCTCGTGCAGAGAGGAGGCAGGCAGCTGACACGGGAGGAGCAGCAAGTAGGACGTGTCGTCAACGGCGACTGTGATCACTTGTGCTGCTCGCCTGGTACGGAGTACCGAGGTCCCAGTGGCTGGCTGATGGAGTGAATCTATTTCCTGTCGTGTGAGCTGCTGCAGCTGCCGAGAGTCTCGCACAGGAGAGAGAGGATGGGAGCGCAGCCATGCGAGACAGCCTGCAGCCATTCGCAATCAGGAGAGCGATGGCCGGGCTTCGTACAGAAGGACCTGAGCGGAGCTTCTCGTACGGCTTGAGGATGCTCGAGAAACCAGCTCTTGCATGAATCGCTCCAGGCCCCGAAAGGTGAATGAGCCCCGGAAGGCGGGACATGCGACCGCAGACGAGGGCGAGCCGGGCATGGCCACTCTCAGACGGTCGTGGATACACAAGCCCCGCTCTCGGGACCCGGAGGCAGCCCAGACATGGCTGTCTTGATCCAGCTCCGGGTGTCAGGATTTCAGGCACTGAAGGTGCAAAGCCGAGCTCGTCGACTCCGAGCGAGGACGCCATCGCCAGGAGAGAGCTGAACCCCACGACTGCACATGGATGTCCAGACATCTTCGGCCCCTGGGCGGCGTGGTCGCTCGGAACACGGCTGCGCGAGACGGGGCCAATCGCCTTCGCCGGGCATGGAGCAGGTTCTCGGAGACTCGGGTATTGGGTCGACATTGTGACAGCGGGGCAGGATCAACAAAGACGGTTAAGCACTCACAGGCCGAATGCAAGATTGGGAGAAATCCAGACGACTGGGGGAGAGGTTGGCCCCGGGTGACACACATCCATCAAGTCGGGCGGCCGGAATCGAGAGGGAGGAGGGGGGGAGGGGTGGAATCTGGAGAAAATGTCCACTTACCCGTACCTTCGCGCCTCAGCAGCAAGCCGTGCGTTGATGTCGCTTACTCCATAAACGCGACCCATGAAAATGGGACTTGCTGCTTGAGTTTCAATCTGAGAGCGAAGCGTGCGTTGTAGAAGGAAGCCAAGCTGGGGCCTAGACTGGCCATGGACGAAGCGACGGTCAGTCAGACTCAGCCCACCACCGAGGTCTCAATCGAAACCAACATCGATGGATGATGAGCGAAAAAATAATCCCAGTGAGTGTGAGCGAGAGCACGATTGATTGTTGACGGACCGTGATCGTCCGAGGCACGAGCGAGGAGTCCCGGGGCCTTACGATGCGAGAGCAGTACTAGGCGTCGCCATAGCTGGCCGAGAGCATATGGGGAGAGCGAGGGGGCAGTTGCGATGCAAATCTCAGCTCCGATGTGAGACCGAACAAATGGGGAGATACCCCTGGTCTTTGGTAGTTGATTTCTCTGACACACTGTATAATGGAGTTGTCTCCTTCCTCCTCCGATAAGGACCGAAGGCCTCGCTCCTGTTCCTTCCTTCCTTCCTGCTTCGCCTCCCTCATCAACTCCGTTGGCTCACACATCCATCCCCCTCCCCAGTGCCGTCAGGCCAGCCCACCACATTGCCGCGATCCACATTCGGGCCAGCAGCCCAGCAGCAGCAGGCATTCGGTCAGATGGGCGTCAGACGCGACCAGCAGCAGCAGGAGGACGAGGACGAGGGCGAGCCGAGCTGCTGATGGGAGGAGGGGGCGGGCGGGCCGCGGGCAGTCCCCAGCAGCAGCAGCAGCGGCGGGGTACAGTGGCCACCGAAGCTTGCTTGCGAGGAGGCCAGCCACATTTTCCACTTTCTTTTTTTTCGTAATTTTATATTCTTTCCTTCTCCACTCATAAAATTGGCGACCCCCAATACATACGTAGCCAGTCTCAGCCGCAGGTGCATCATCAACAACTTGGATAATTCCACATGGATCTCGGTTGTCCACAAGTGATTCGACTCACCCCGAGTAACCACCAATTACTCGCCCGCCTCGACTCCTTTGTCTCCGTTCAATCTTCTTTTCCTCCCGCACTGGGCTCTCTCGGGCGCCCCGAACCTCTTCCCTCCGCTCGTTTCTGTTTCCAGAGGGATCCTCCCCCGTGCCAAAAGGTTTACTTTTCACCTTCGCGACTGCAGATGGATGGGGTCTTCTAACTTAGAGAGATGGCTAGATTACGGCTCTGTCAATCCATTTCTCCAGCTTTCTGTCCAATTCTACGTAGATCTCCTACGCGATTTTCACCTAGATCCAAAAGTCTGGTATTCAACTGTGGTGTAGACTAGACAGTCCGTGAGCAACTATCGAAGGAGCTATTTAAATTTATCGATGACTAACTATTTTTGGGCCGATCTAAGTTTCTATGAGACCGCTTGAGAAACTTTAGAATGAAAAACGTGGCAAGAGATCTCGTGGATAGCTAGAGGTGGTGAGTCCGACGAGTGATTCAGGGGAAACAATTAGGTGCTGTAATTAATGGTTTGTGTCATCAAGTCGTAAAATGTTTTGAAAAACAAATTGTACAGAACCTGCTGCTTAGCTATCAAACTTCGTTCACACGCCTTGAGAGTGGACTGCCAGAGTCATTAATTGCACCATTAACGTCTAAACCTAATCCAAAGTCCTATTTTGTCAAGTCCAGACTCACCCCAACAAAATCTATCAACTTGTTGCATGCGATGGATCCATAGAATACATATTTGATTTACTACATAGAACACCTTGAATAGGTGAGCGAAACCATTTTCCATTTCATTGTATATGACCGCATTTTGCATTGATACTGATTGAATTCAGAGGTCATCAGCTTCATCCAACTCCATTGCTCGCACGAAGCTTGCTCCCCCAATCAATGACACTCTTCGCTCATCCAGTTGCGGCTGTTGGAAAGATGAGGTCTGCTGACGATTCAAAATTCCCACCGTGGAGTCGAAACTGTTCGCATGATCCATTGATCTATGTATACGAAATCTCCATCGTCGCAAGTCATGTCTTCGCATTCAAGCTTCGCCAGGGGATGAATGAATGAATGGCCCGATGACTCAACGATGCTACACCGAAGTTCGTTTCGGCTCTCGACTGCGGACTGACTGCGTATCGCTCACTCGATCGGTCCCCGGTATTTACGTGCGGTACGTACTGTATAGAGTAGCGAGCGAGGAAGACCGTACTCGGAACGGAGTACAGTAGCGCAGGAGCGCAGGAGGAGAAGTATTGGTCGAAGCTGAGATCCGGAGCTGGTGGAGGAGGAAGGCTCGGAAGGTCGGAAACTGGCAGGGGGTGGCGGACATGGGTCAGGCAGCGCACCGAAGAGTTTTGGATCGTGTAACATATCGTTTGGGTCGGCTGCAAATCTCGACCAGCGGACGAAAGCCGCTGCTTAATTCTAGCCAAAGGCGACCGCCGGTCTGCAGCTGCCGCTTGGCGGGGGACTGTACCGCTCTCGCCTTCGGCGGGCTCTGTGAGTGGTGGGTCGATTGAAAACTCTCTCTGGCCAGTCGCTGCGGTGGTTTACTTAAAGGGTAAATCCTCGCATTGACCTCGTGAAAACAGGTGTGCCTCTTCTTATCTCGCTGCCTCCGCTTTGCATGCGTGAGGATTAGCTGTGTTTTGAATTTGAACCGTCCTCTCATCTCCTCTCAGCATTCCCCCTCTCCAGCCCAATCCTCTCAGAGTGACCCTCCGCATTGTCCATCCATCTCCTCGAGAAATTGTCGATTGCTCATGAGACTTGCCTTATGGCTTACTCGATGCAATATATGAAAGATCTGTCAAACATTCTGAAGTGATTTTTAGAGAAAATCGACAGAAAGAGATAGAAAATTTTCAGACAGAAAATCGACTTTGAAGAGATATATATCAAACAACATAATGATAGACTCTTAATCAAGGATGTGAATAAAGTGGCGGTAGTTTTAGAAAGTAAAATTGTTTTCGTAACCTTCAAGACATATCCAACTATAAATCCCCATTAGCTTTATAACATGAAAGAAAAAATATGTACATCAACTGATAAATGGTATACTTTGTAGACTAAACACAGAACCATTTGATCATAATTTGCAGTGTTTCGGAAGTGAATTCTTAGCAACTATACTTGAAAAGGCAATCCATGGTTCTGGCCGATGATGCTCGATATCATATCCATTGCCGATTGCATGAATTTCTCGTCAAAGGTATAACTGTTTTCATTCTCTTCCTTCTTCCAGAGGTAGGACCAATGTATAATTATCTCTATCATTTCCGTCTTCCATTCGTCAAGTGGTCATGACCACATGGTCGATGCATAAAGAGATTATGTCCTCCGCATAGTTTGTAACGGAGTCTCTATGGCCTTTCAGCAGGAATCATAATCTGAAGCTATGTAGGAAGTCTCATTTTACAACTTTGATTTTCTTGTTGAAAAATGTCTGCATAAAGCGTACACATAAAAACTATGGACGTACCAGCGTATTGATATCACCTTGTATGTGCCTCGTGGTTTTCCCTCCATATTTGCAAACTAAAATCTTACAAAATACAAATACAACATTTGAGAGTAGTTTGATATTTTTCTAGGAGGATTATTTACATTTATCATAAAACGAACGTATTTAAATTGACACCTTAATCACAAAAATTATAAGCTTAGATGGAAAATAATACAGAAGTAGAAAAATAAAAATAAATGAAATCCTAAATGTACACAAATAATGTCATTGATTTTAATATCTCTAAATCCTATTGTATGTAAAATTTTAAATGTTCATTTCTACTCACTCATTCGATTCCACAGATCCATAAAATATATTAATTAGGCAGATGAATAACATACATTACGTGTTTATGATCACATCATAGTGATGTATATAGTAAATATAGTTTTCACGAATATGTTCAAATGATTTATAAATTGATTTTTTTAATCTCAAAACACACATTTACAAATATAAATTTTTAATAATTTGATTGATTTGAAACGAACAGAAATGGTCGTTAAGAATCAAAAAATGATGTAACTTCAAAAATCTAATTAAATTATATTTTAAATATTTGATAAGACCCATTCCAGTTAATCTACATAGTTCTTATTTGATTATTATTTTTCAATGAAAATTTAAAGTTAACATATAAGTAAAAAAATAAACATTTAATAGTTAAGAATCATTGTTATGATATTTATATTATTATATATCCCATCCAACCTGTTGAAAATTACTATAACACTTAATCATGGAAAAAACCAATCTCTATTTCTATGCACATGATTAAAGTTGCTAGGTCGAATGAAATATGTCAATGTCTTTCAATAGCGTCTTTCAATTGAAGTACATTATGCTTGTGAATATCAAATCTTCTAAGCTTGTTGTAAGAATATTCACCGTATGTCATGTATTATTTAAAAATTTCGAATATATAGGAATAAAAGATGTGAGATACAACACTCGTGATCATGTAGACGTAAAACATTACAAACTTACATGTTACATTTATGTTCAGATGTTTGATATAATTATTAATTAATACTAAAATGAAAAGAAGTTATATCATTATTTGTTATGATTTCATTTTAATTTTCATTATTTTTATTGAGTTCATGGATGTAAGAAATGAAATAGATTACAAAGATATTTTCATAAGTTTGAATATTCACAAAATATAATCCAAAACTGATAAACACATTTTAATAAAATAAAAATAAAAATATACGTAGATTTAGTATAGTATGGAGATTAACTGAAGTGAATTAAACTAATATCAAATTTATTGATTAAATAACCTTTTCTAAAATATGTGATGAAAAAAACTACTTTTTGCATATATAAGAAGTGCATGCTTAAGCTTCATTTCAATACGGAATTTAAATGCGATTTCAGTCTAGAAAATTATTATTCATAACTAAATAAATTAACCAAATTACCTGTTTTTTATTTATTGAGATTTTAAAATATGAAACAAGTCCATTCATGAAATTTTCTAGGATATTAAAAATTGGATAAATAAATTGTATAACTGAACAAAAAGATATATACTAAATCATAAACATGAATATATCCTGATACAAAAATGTGATAATGCACCTTAATTTTGACTGTATTAGGTTTTATAAGAGTTTATTATTCGAACATGCTCATGTTGTCTCAATCAAATTATACAATATATAAGAGCAAGGTCATTATAACACATAACCTACAAACAATCAGCTTTTGAGCTCGTTGCCAAACTATTCAAATCTCTACAATTGAAAAATCTTAAATTTTGAACTAAAAATGTAATATGTCAATTATCTATTTATCCCAACACAATCATAGTGCAAAAAAAAATTATTTTATCGCATTTTGAGTGATTTTAATATTTAAACTGAATATTGATTATCTAAAAAATTCATTGACTTCATGGTCTAAACATATTGAAATTTTAGATTTCAGACTCACAAACAAAAAAGTACAAATACAAAATGGGATGGTCAAAACCAAACAAACTTTCACACGCGTGGTTTTACGCGCGTAAAACCTAATGCATGATTGGTTCAAAAGTTCATATCAGTTTTATTTTGTTAGCATGATTGAGCATGTCGCATTAGATTGAAAAGAGTTAAGAATTACCTTGAATGGAATCAAATAAAATTGGAATTTATCTGTATGTATTTTTTCAAAATAAAATA